TACTGATTTCAGAGGAAGAGAGAGGGAGAGATAGAAACATCAATATGACAATCATCAATCCGATGCTTCCTACATGCCCCCTACTGAGGATGGAGCCTGCAACCCGGACATGTGCCATGACCTCTTGGTTCATAGATTGATGCTCAACCACTGAGCCACACCAGTCAGACTATTACTGGGAATCTATCCATTTCTTCCAGACTGTGTAATTTGTTGTCATATGGTAGTTTTTAGTATTTCCTTATAATCATTTGTATTTATGCAGTGTCAGTTGTCACTTCTTCATTTATTTTATTTATTGGGGTCCTCTTCTTTTTTTCTTAATAAGTCTGGTTAAAGGTTTATCAATCCTATCTTTTCATAGAACCAACTTTTAGCTTCATTGATGATTTGTATTGTTATTTTTTAGACTCTATTTCATTTATTTCTGCTCTCATCTTTATTTTCTTCCTTCTATTCATTTTGGGCTTTGTTTGTTGTTCTTTTTTCAGGTCTTTAGGTTTAAGATTAGATTGTTTACTTGGGATTTTTCTTGTGTCTTGAGATTTTTTTTTCTATGAATTTTCCTATTCAAACTGCTTTTACTGTGTGTTCCATGAATTTGGGGTTGCTGAGTTTTCATTTTTATTTATCTCAGGTATCTTTTGATTTCTTCCTTGATCTCCTTATTAACCCATTCATTGTTTAGTAATGTTATTTATATATATGTCCATATATTTGTGTTTCTCGGGTATTTTTCTTTTTTGTAATTGATTTCTAGTTACATACCGCTGTGGTTGGAAAATATGTTTGATATTATTTCAGTCCTCTTAAATTTACTGAGATTTGTTTTGTAGCCTAACATGTCATCTATCCTGGAAAATGTTCCATATATATATCTTTCCTTGATGAACAGAAACCTTACTGCTTTTCATAGCCAGATATTATGTGGGCACCTCTTCCAGCTCTGGTCTCTGGAATGTGAAACTTTGCTTGGGGTTTGGACCCTATGCTTCTCAGGGGAAAACCCCCACATCTGAGATAAACCTCTGGAACCTCAGCTGCAATCTTGTGAGGTAGGCCAGCCCTTTTCACATCTCTACCCTTCCTATAAGTCAGGCTTGTTCTGTAAATCCTTGGTTATAAGACTTATCTTCAGCTAATCTTCAATTAGTTATTCAGGATGGTTGTTCTCCAATTAAATTATAATTCTAGTTAGGGCTTAGAGGAGTGTATTTTCCACCTACTCCACTGCCATTTTGGATCTCTCTCAAACTATTTCTTAATTCCAAATAACACTTACATAAATGTTGTATTAGTACTTTCCATGTCAGATACTTAGCTAAGTTTTATCTTTGTCACTTCTTTGAAAAAAAGAAATCATAATCCTGCAAAAATCCAACTTTTGTCACCCATTTACCTGAGCCCTTGTTGTTAACTTGGACAAAAGAAAAATGTACATCCATGATGAATGATCTTGTGTTAAATTTTTTACCATAAACCTAAAACGGATCCTTAATGCTGATAATCTATTATACTACTCCTAACTCACTGCTAACTCAATCCCTCTCCCAGTCTCAGACAAGTATTCTAATCTTTTCCTCTCTCCACAAACTCTGGACAATTAATCCACCATCCTTATTTTCAGATAATAACCTTACAGTCTACATTACTGAGAAAATAAAAAATAATTCCAGGACAACTTTCATTGAGCCTTTAACACTACTTACCACCCTCTGCACCCACCACGCCTACCAACACACAGCATTTGCATTCACCACACCTACCCAATCACCATCATCTATACCCACTACACCTCCCTAAACCATCAGTTCTGAACTCACATTTGCCTCCCACCTGATATTGGGATGCACTCTCCATTTTCTTGTCTAGAGTCAGTCCTTCCAATTGTCTTCTAAAACCCATCTCTTCTTACCTACTCAAGGACAGTCCAGAAATTCTCCTCTCTTCCTCCAACATCATCATTTTTCATTCTCCTCTCAATCATTTGCCTCACTACACAAACATATCATTATTTCTCCCATCTTACACATAAAAAAAAAAACTGATATTTACCCCACTTGCACATTACCAAATCACCCATTTCTTTGTTCATCTTTGTAGCAAAACTCCTGGAAAAAGTTGCCTATATCAACTTTTTAAATATTTATCTTTTGCCAATCACTAAAATATACACTATTCAGAGCTTTGATCCCTTTACACCAAAGGAACTTCTCTAGCCAAGGACACTAGTGACCTTTACATTGCCATGTACATTGCACAATTCAAGGTCCTTATCTTATTTAACCTGTCAGCAGTATTTGGCACAGTTGTCACTCATTCTTCCTTGATATACTCCCTTTTACTTGGCTTCTCTTCATTCCATTTCTTTCTTAATGGCCAGTTTCTTCTGGAAAAAGGAAGAAAAACACTTGATCTTATCCTTGACCTCTTGATGTTGGAATACACCAAGCTCAATTCTTGGTCCTTTTATCTTTTCTATTTACACCCACTGTTCTAGGCTCATGTCAATGACTCCCAAATTTATATCTTCAGCCAGTGTACTATTTCTCCCAAAATTCAGATTCAGCATTCTACATGTGTCTTAAAGACACCTCAAGCTCAACATGTCCATACTGAACTCTCTATCTTTTTCCAAAAACTTACATCTATAGCCATCCCATTTAACTGACAGTAAGTTTACCTTTCAAGTTGTTCAATCCAGAATCTTTAGAATCATCGTCTCTTCTTTCATTCAACATTCATCCACCAGAAAATTCTGCTGGCTCTACTTTCAAAATATATCCAGAATCTGATTATGTCTGATTACCTTTATTGCTACCAGACTAGTGTGAACAAATATCATTTCTCACTTGGTTGCTTCAATAGCATCTAATAGGTCTCCTGTTTCTACTTTTGTTCCTTACACAGAAGCCATAAGGATACTTTTAGACCTAAATCAGATCATGTCACTCCTCTATTCAAAATCTTATAACTAGTTCCCTCTTACATACAGTCTACACCAAAGTCATTTCATTGGCCTAAATGGTCTTATATGATTTTACTCCTGTTGTATCTCGGACATCATATTCCACCATTGTTCTTTTGCTCCAGTCACACTAATTGGTTAATAAATATTTTTAAACAAGTCAAACCCAGTCTCCAAGAAGCTCACAGTCGACTGGACAAAACAGAGGTAGATAAATGATTATAATACAAACAGAAAGTGGTAATTAAAGTTCTCTTCTGTTTCTCATTCAAAACTCTGGGAGGTGAATGTTAAACGTTGAGAAATTTGCAAAGACTGGGAGTGATGTTAGAGAACACAGGAAGAAAGAAAGGACTTTTCAGGCAGACAAGCATTGCAAGTGCAAAGACCTGGAGAGATGAATCAATAGAATCCTATCTAATAAAATGGAAATATGTTAATTGACTCTCACACCATCACAAAGATGGCAGCAAGCACAGCCAATAAGAAGGGAATATGCTAATTGACTGCTGTGCCCTCAAAGATGGTGGCACCCATAGTCACAAGATGGTGGCTCCCAGTCCCCTCAGCCCTGCCAGGATGACAGGCACAGGACAAGGCTCTGGAGTCCTCCACTCCCCTCAGCACCCCAGCTGCCCAGGGCTGGCCCAAGGCGAGGCAAGCCTCAGATGTCGGCTGCCCAGTCATCCAGGGCCACCCAAGGCTCAGGTAACCAGGACTGGCTGAGACTTGCGCTGCCAGCAGTAGCAGCAGCAGAAGTGTGACGGGGTGTCACCTTCCCCTGATCACCTGATCACCGGGTCTCCTCTCACCCCTGAGAGATCCAGACTGTGAGAGGAGGCAGGCCGGGCAGAGGGATACCCCCTCCAGTGCATGAATTTTCATGCACCAGGCTCTAGTATTTACAGAATTACAAATAAAGCATCAAAAAATAACATTTGAAATAAGGGAATCTGGATGTAGGAGGCAAAAATAAATATGGTGTATACTTTAGATAGGAGTCAGATCATGAAACACTTTGTATTTGTTTCTTCCTAACAGTTTTCAATATGCTCGAAGAGCAATTTATTAAATAATCATGTAATTTTGATGCACCTCCTTGACAGGGCTAAAGCAATACTTGGAAAGGATTCTGAATCCCCCGAGTTAAAGATACAAAAGAAAAACCTAGAGTCACATTTAATTTGACAAGGTAAAGGAGTGGGTGTGCTGCTATATCAAATTCAATTTGTATAAAATCATCATCTCTGGTAACATTATTTTTCTTGATCTACTTCGTTTAGACTACTTTAGTAAGGCTTGATCTCCTTGTCTATCTAAACATCGCTTCACTTACAGCAAGCTTCAGGATAACATTGGTCTTATTAATTCCTGGTAAGTCCACAAGGTATTAGTTGCACACGATACTGTATAAAAGGTGAACTGAGACTTAGCTCAGTCTACAGCTTTCCCTAGACAAGGCAGTGGACCACAGGTGAGTCTCAGCATCTATAGTTATCAAGTGGTGACAGTTACTTTCAAATTACAGATTTTTCAAAATCTGGAGAACAAATCTAGAGGTTTTGAACTGTCATGTAGAAAATCTGTGCTTGTCAACCTAGCTCCTTAAATATGGTTAATCAGTATATACTCCGTTAGCAAGAACTTGACTTTATAGACCTCTGAAACAAAGGTGAGTAAAAACAAAGGAAAATATGAGATGCTAAAAATGAACTAATTTTGTAGTACAGAATTTTCTTCTTCTTTTTTAAACAAAATAATCTTTAAAAGGGGTAAATATGATTATACAATTACTTGCTTCAAAGTAATTGATTTAATCGGTAATACTCTAATCTTTAAAAACTGCTTTACTTTCATTATTATATTGGAGTTTTAACCTATGTTTCTACTTTGACAAGAAAAATGAAGAAGGAGGAGTGTAAGAACAACTATTTGTTCAAGAAACTAGGAAGAAAAATAATTGCTGCAGCAAATGTGACTGGGGCAGATGAGTAAACCAATTCATTTTGGTTTGGTCAACTTACGTAATGATTATAACTCTTTTGAGTTTTGTTTTCTCATGGCCTCAATTGTTTGCTTCATAGTCCAGGATGAAGTCAGTCCATTTGTGCTTTCTTTTCTGCTGCTGGAAAGCAATGTGCTGCAATAGCTGTGAGCTGACCAACATCACCATCACAGTGGAGAAAGAGGAATGTCACTTCTGCCTCAGTATCAACACCACTTGGTGTGCAGGCTACTGCTACACCCGGGTAGGAACTCTGCTTTGCTGGAAGTGAGGGTGCTGAGGGTCTATAGAAGACAATTTTTATTAATTCCCATTTTATTAGTATTTTAAGTTTCCAAAGTAATAGCTATGAGTCCCCTTAGGCAAATACTGTCTGTGTTATGATTAAGGTTAATTACCATGATATCAGTTAGATATTTGGGTAAATTTAGGGAGACCTGGGATCTTATTTGATCTATCAAGCACTATGCCAACTCTGCATTAAAATTAAAAGTAATTCTATGATAGATTTTACATATAGAGAGGTAAACATACCAACATACATATATTTAGTAATAGAAGACTTATAATATTCACCCAAAGCTAATTTCTAGGAAGATGTATTTCGTGTATACTAGTATCTATTTCTATTTCTACATAACTGAAGCTATATCTTTGCAATTGAGATATGTTTCTAAGCCACATAAAAACATAAACATCTACATCATACTAGTAAACACTGCCATATTGTCCCTCCTGAATACAAATGCCAGCAACCGTCCTGAGAACACATTCAGTCATTGCAGACTGTTACAACCAAATGAATCTGCAAACCCACTCACTTCTTTATTCTGTTGAGAAAACCAAGGCACAGAGGCATAAAACCACTAGTTTGTAGTCACAGTTTCTTTGCATCAATCCAAGTAAGAAGGAAGCTCCCCCTTAAAAATTCCATTCTATAACTGAAACTGAAAATAGCAATTTGGGGGGAGAGGGGGGGACGACACGGTTTGTTTGTTTATTTTTCATTTTTTTAATTCTCACCCAAGGATATTTTCCCATCAATTTTTAGAGAGAGTGTAAGAGAGAGGGAAGGACAGAGAGAAATATCAATGTAAGAGAAACACATAAATTGTTTGCCTCCTGCACCAGCTCCAACCAGGGCCCAGGCCGGGAGGAGCCTGCAACCGAGGTACATGCCTTTGATAGGAATCGAACCTGGGACCCTTCTATCTGCAGGCTGACACTCTATCCACTAAACCAAACTAGCTAGGGCAAAATAGCAACTTTTTAATGAAATATATTTTATTGGTGGCAAATAAATATGATCAACCTCCACTTAATATACAGTTTATTATATCTTCTAAGCATATAGACTTTGTAACATGATATTGAAATAAATTAAGCAGCTGTTATAATTCTTCCCTCAGTGCATATAATTTTTTAATTCAAAAGTGTTGGGACACACCTGTTCTTCTGGATTAAAATTTCTTATATGCAAACATGTGCCCTTTGACACTGAGAGCACTGCAAAATATAAAGCACTTAAGGAAAGGAAATGTCTATAGGACTGTAGAATATTTAAAATCTTTTGTGAGCCTTTATAGTCATATTCAACTAAGCATTAACATTCCATATTATGTCTCTTTGGAATTAACATTTCAAAAACACACAGGGACAATGTATTTTTAAATATTTCTTGAGAAATTAAACTTCAGTTTTAAGTTGTTATTAACACAGCTTTCAACTAAGTACAAAAAGTCAACTTAAGCCCTAGCTGGTTTGACTCAGTGGATAGAGTATTGACCTATAGACTGAAGGGTCCGGGGCTCAATTCTGGTAAAGAGCATGTACCTCTGTTGCAATAACTGAGGCAGGTGCAGGAGGCAACCAATCAATGTGTCTCTCTCACATCAATATTTCTCTCTGTCTCCCCACCTCCCTTCCACTATCTCTAAAAATCAATGAAAAGATATCCTCAGGTGAGGATTAACAACAACAACAAAAGTCAACTTAAAATATCTGTCATGTCTCCCTTGCTTATCATTTTTCTATATTGAAAATACATTTTGATATAGTCTATATATTCAAAATTTCTCTGTGGTTTGAGAAATAATTAATATGTTGATATAGACGAAAGGAAAAGGAATGATTTATATTTTCTGTAAGATTTCCAGAACAACCAGGAACATGGTATAGCATATAGGTAGTTCATTTATGAAATCATGTTCCCTTGGTTAGGTATTCCTTAAGTGAGCTTAAGGAATAAATTAAATTCCTATCACATTTTGATTAAGTTAAGCAGAAACTCCCAGAATACTGTAACCTAACTCTCTCCTTCCTAAACTCCTCAGGATCTGGTGTACAAGGACCCAACCAGGCGCAATGCCCAGAAAGTATGCACCTTCAAGGAGCTGCTATATGAGACAGTGAGAGTGCCTGGCTGTGCTCACCATGCAGACTCTGTGTATATGTACCCAGTAGCCACTGAATGTCACTGTGGCAAGTGTAACAGAGACAGCACCGACTGCACCGTGCAAGGCCTAGGACCCAGCTACTGCTCCTTCAGTGAAATAAAAGAATAAGGAGCAATGGACATTTTAGGCTGCCTACCCTTGTCCTGAAGGACCAAGATATCCGAAAAGTCCACGTGTGTACAACATGCAAAGGCTGCAAGCCACTGTGGCCTAGGGGAGCATCCGACCCCACTGATCCCGGCCTCTCCAGAGCTTGAGAGTGAAAGAATTGAGGGTGGTGGATCCTGGCTCCACTCCACCCTGTATCATAGGTTGGGTTCCTTAAGTTTTACTTAGTCTTACTTAACATATAGACACAAGGATACCTTCTGTTTATTAATCTTAGAAACCCTCTTGGTCAACCATTTCCCCTTCAGATCAGGATACCTACTCCCAGAGGGAGGAAATGAGATGGGAGTGGGTGAAAATACTAGATGCTGCATTCTTCTGATGGGCTCTTGGGCCCTCAAAATCAGGGCCAGCATCTTCTTCATCATTGTAGCCTTGGCGTCTAACACCATGCCTGGAATTTAGTGAGAAACTCAACAATGGCTTCCTTAAGGAAAGTAAGAACAGAAAGGTAGGGGGTAGGAAAACACTGAAAAAGGATGGCTGATGAGGCAGCCCCAACAATGCCTGTCAGTCCATGGGAATGAGGGCATCAGTTCCACCTCATCTCTCCTCCTCTGGCAAACGGGACAGGTTGCACCTCTGAATTGCTCAGTACAGGTGGGAATTAAGATTTCCAAGCTATTACTTCCAAGCCCTTTAGATAAGGGCAAACTCAAGAAATGTTAATATGGGCCTACGAAAATTAGTCCACATTTATTCCAACATTTAAATAAATTGAACAAATTCTGCCACGCTCCTGCAAAACTCCCTTTAAAAAGTAAAATGCATTACCCTGTCCTCTGGACTGGATTTGCTCCTTGAAATAGAAGAGGATTTGAAAGTAGGTTTTAAAGCAATTTCAGCAGCTTATTAAGTGCATTTATCTTATCTACAAATGCATTTGTGTAAATAAATAGCTCTTTTAGAAAGAATTAGCCATGAAGAAAAAGAAAACTTGTTTTCTAGAATCCTCTCTACATCACTCTTCTCTTTTGTTTGTTCACATTCTCTGAAATCTATGATTTCTTACAAGAAGGTACATAATGAAACTATTTTATGAGTTGATTTTTTTTAAATGATACCTCTCTAAGTTATGTACTTGTTTCACACTTAAAATGTTTTAACTACTGTAACTTATTCAATCCTACTTTATTTTTTTAAATAAAGATGCTAGGCATTAGAGTCATAAATTTGAATTTTTTCACAAACAGCTAACATATGTGCATGTTTATAACAATAGCAGAAAAATTCTTAACTTATAATTCCTAGTGCTCCTGTAAATATTTTATGTCCTTGCCTTTGAAACTATTAAAAATGATTTAGTCGCATTTCAAAATTTCCTGTAATTTTTTTAACTTATTTCCTGATGTAATAGGGAAACAAAGCAGAGGGAGAATAACAGAGTGGGTGAGGGCCCTGGAGATTCTCCAGTTCATTTCTTAAATGGTGGACACAGAAAAATTAAAGATCAAGGATGTTAAGATCATAGTCAACATCACAAAGACTATTCATAGCAGTACCAGATTTAGAACCCTGGCTTCCTAGCGCTTAGCCCACCTCCCCTGTGAGTACCCTATCATACTAAGAAGTCATCGTGGCAAGGATCGATGAAAAAATGTAGGAATTAATAATCAGCTTTGCCCATTCAAATATGGTATTGAGTGTGGCTTAAAGCTATATTCTCTACAATATTTTGACACATTTGAAATTAGGCTGTAATAACAAATTTTGACAAAATGCTTTAAATGATACCATAGCCTTTTCCTTCTCCCTATGCTTTTAGAAAACAAAACAATTGCCTTCCCATTAGTGGTAGTATAGGGCAATGGCCCCAGAGTCAAGTTGTCTTAATCTTCTTGACCAGATGTGTCATCTTGAACAAGTCATTTAAATTCTCTGGACTTCGGTTTCCTCTAGAACAGATTTAGATGTTTCTTCCATTGACACGATGTAGTAATTACTTGTCAACTCACATTTCTATGAGAGTTTTACCACCCTCTCATTCAAGCTATCTTCTGGCCTGTCCTAGTCAGTACACACTGCTATAATGAGAATACTACCCACTGGCCCTCTTATGAACAACAGAAATGTATTTCTCACAGTTCAGAGGCCGAGAAGTCTAAGATCAAGGCACCAGCAGATTTGGTGTGTGGTAAGAGCCCACATCCCATTTCACAGGCAACTGCCTTTTTTTGCTCTATGTGCACAGTGGCAGGGGAGGGAGGAGCTCTCTCGGGCCTCTTTCATAAAAGCATTTATTCCATTCCATTGATGAGGTCTCTGCCCTCCCAACTAATTACTTCTCAGAGGCCCCATCCAAATACCATCACATGGGGAATTGGGTTTCAACATATAAATTTGGAAGGAAGGCAAACATTGAGTCTATAGCATGGCCTATGAGAATGAAATATGAACAACCTTCCTTATGCAAAAAATGAAAGGAAATCCATAGTTCAAAATGGTTGGCAATTTCAGCATTGAAAAGACATAAACAAACAAAATCTTAGCTGAATATAACTGAGTATGAAAGTTGGGTCGATGATTTATATACATAAGTTCCTAGAAACATTTTTAGACTGTCTTAGGCATTTGCATTTAATTCATTTATATTCACTATAACAAAAACAGTACTTCAATTTATAAGATAACTCTAGGCATTTCAATTGTTAGGCTGATTTACAGTAAACTGGCTTATTGCAGCATAATAAAAAATAGTCTTTGCTATATGCCACTACAATAAATTAATCAAGCAATTAAAATTGAATTTTCACACTACAATCTTATTTTGTTTTCTCACATATACAAAATAATAGCATCAAGCATCATTTAAAACCAATAATATGATTTGTGCTTTGCAGAAACCAACAACAAATTAAAAACCAAACCTTTGCATTCGTAGCAACAGAAACAGCCAAGAGCGTTTGAGAAATGAGTATGATTTTTCCTTCACCGTTACTATAGCACACGGAATCTGGGAACAAATGGAGCCTAGTGTAATCATGTGGTTGTTTTAAAGGCTGTAACACTTCAGGACAATGCAAATGGCTTCTCACATTAAAAAGACATTACATCGCTCATCAATTTAAAATAAAAGGCAAAAGACTGCTCTCGAATTATAAAGTACATTTCTGTGAAAAATTACCTCTGAGCTGCAGGAGACCCTGAGGCTACCTCTTCACGTGTGCTGGAAGTGATGGTAGCCCTCCCCAAGGTTGAGAAAGGCAACAGTTCTGTTGTTAAAAATATTTAAAGTGAGTGATTAATCATGAGCTGTGTCATAGGCATGTGAAGTGATGGAAGATGGAAAAACTGAGAAACCAAGTGGCTTTGCGGAGGAGGTGTAATCAACCTCTGATTAATTGTGCTAATGGAAAGAAGTGTTGTGGATAACACAAACATCAGTAAATGCCAAATGAAAGCTCACCTGCGTTTGTCCCAAAATGTATAAATTGAAATTTTAAGATAGGAGATTTTCCTCCCTTGGAACTGTTGTCCATGGGGGTAAGTCTATAATTTAACCCAAACAGTATTTTCAAAAGAATAATGCCTTGCAGTGTTAAAGGAGTTGGAATAACAACATCTGACAAAGGGAATGCGTTCCAGATACATCACTTGTAGAGTAAGCATAGTTCTCTATGCACTGCCCCAATGCCTATCCACTAGCCTTAAGGTGGACTGAAAACTGAAAAGGTGCAAGCTTACTTGTACAAAAATACAAATTCTGCCAGGGTTTCCCAGATGGGTCTGATAAAACAGATGAAAGTAATCCAGGTTTATTAAAGGTTTTCTTTTGCAGGTATACAAACAGGGCTGCTTCACAAAGACACTCAGTAAAACAGGGAGAACAGCCCACTCTTCAGCAGCTATTTCCATCTAGCCTTGCAGCATGGGTGTTTATTCAAGCTTTCAAAACATAAAATTCAGTGGGCATTCTGTTTCAGACAGAATGCTAAATACTACTGAGAATGGACTCTGGAAAAAGCATACCTGGTTACTGTCCTGATGAAATAAAGCACCCCAGCAACTCTTAACAATAAATGCACAAGAAATACTGGTTTTTCCTTTCAAATGTTCATTGATTCTGAAATCTTTCTGGGCTAAGAAGCCAGCTGCTAAAATATCAATTTAGATTTTTAAAGAAGGGTTTGGGTAGAGCATAAGTATTTAGGGCAACATCCTATCTAATAAAGAGGGAATATGCAAATTGACCATCACACCATCACAAATATGACGGTGCCCATCGCCACAAGATGGCAGCACCCAGCCCCCTCAGCCCTGTCAAGAGTCCCCTAGTCCTTTCAGCCCCACCGGGGAGGTGGCAGGCTCACAGTGCAGCCAGACCCACCCTCAGTCCCCCATGGCCAGCCCAAGGCATAGGCAAGCCTTGGAAGGTGGCTGCCCAGCTGACACCTGAGAAACAGGCAAGTCTTGGATGGCAGCTGCCCAGCCGCCTAAGGCTGGCCCATGGTGCAAGTAAGCCTCAAATGGTGGCTGCCCAGCTGCCCAGGGCCACCCAAGGCTCAGGTAACTAGGGCCAGCCAAGGCTTGTGCTGCTGGCAGTGGCAGCAGTAGAGGCGTGATGGGGCATCGCCTTCCCCTGATCGCTGAATCGCCTCCCACCCCTAAGGGCTCCCAGACTGTGAGAGGGGGCAGACCAGGCTGAGAGACCCCCCTCCAGTGCTAGTTATAATGTCCTCTACAATGGAAACTACAAATAAGAAAAGAAATCAGACCTGGATTTAAATCCATGTGGAATGATAGGACTTTAGGAGTTTGAAGATTGTCAGTATTTAAGCACATTTCAGAAGTGAACTGAAAGGGCATCAGATTCCCAAGGAGATTGTTCTAAGTTTAGTGCCAACATAGATGAGTCCAAAAAATTTTGGGACAAGTCAAATAAAAAAGATACAAAATTAAAAATGATACATGATACACCAACTGGACTTTGGGAGTTGGAGAAGAAGGCAGGAAAATGCCTACTCAATAAAACGGAGATTGTTCTTAAATATTTTATTGGATCCCTGATTATTCACATTTATTGGTTTTTATCACTGCAGAAATAAGGAGCACAACAATTTTAATAACTTACACACAAACATTCATGCTTCTAGAATTTCATCCTGGGGATTTTGTTATTTCTTGTACGGGACCACTGAATTTCCCAGATTCCCACACCCTGACATTCTGAGCATACAAACCAGTTATATCCTAAATGTCTAGTACCCAGTTGAAATAAACACATATAGTTGGTATGCTTATGCATAAAGAAAAACAAGTAATAATAAGCAAGTGTTTCCTTTTTAAACTGGGGACATTTTGAACATTTGTTTTTTAATTACAGTTGACGTAGAGGTGTGCAACACGGTGAGTATATATTTATATATCTTACAAAGTCATCTCCCTGGTAAGTGTAGTATCCATCTGACACCGTACAGAGTTAACTTCTGTCCAACCATTTTACCAACAGTGGTCTTATTTAAGTCAATCATAAACTCCTGGTTTTTAAATCCAAAGGTCAATTTCCATCATACATTTTTACAGGAACTCTTTGCTGTACACAATCATGTAGATTATTCCCTCCTCCTTTCTTAAAGTTTCTATTTCCTTGATCTCCTCTGGCACTCTACTCTCTGGGTTCTCTTGTCTCTGTCAATCACTTCTGTGTCTTCTATGAAATATCTCCCAAGATGCTCTCCTCCACTCAGTACTCATACTTTCCCTAATAGACCACTTAGTATCTTTCACTGACAACTTAATGACCAATGAAGCAAATTCTTTAGCAAAGTCTAGATTTTTTTAAATATATTTTATTGAATTTTTACAGAGATCAAGGGAAAGGGATAAAGAGCCAGAAACGTCGATGAGAGAGAATCATTGACCAGCCACCTCCCACACACCCCCCACCGAGAATGTGCCCGCAACCAATGTACATGCCCTTGACCGGAACCGAACCCGGGACCCCTCAGTCCGCAAGCTGACGCTCTATCCACTGAGCCAAACCAGTTCCGGCTAGATTTATTTATTTATTTTTATAACCCATGCCCATTAACTTGCAGCTGAACACTGTCTTGTAGTCATTCCACAGGCCTCACTCTCAACATGCCCCAAATCAAATTCATCATCTCCATTGCAAAAGTAATCCAGGTCTGCATTCTCTACTTGTATCCATCTGTGATTGAAAGCTAAGAATCATTCTTGACTCCCCTCTCTCCCTCACATTTCACTTCTATGTGAAGTAGTGTAAGTAGCCTGGTGATGCAGAGATTAGTACTAAACAGGTCCTTGCTC